CCTGTAACATCACTGCTTAAAGATTCATTTAAAATCATTTTTATTTTAAAAACGAAACGACGATCAATCACTTTTGTGCCTGTAGTGTCAGTTATAAAATTATTTTTTTTATGAAACTGATATTGTTTTAATAGGCTTACCCATTTTGCAATATTAATTAAAAATTATAAAACTCTTCATGACGAAAATTTTTGAAGTTAAACAATCTCAAATGCGAATGAGGAAGTATTCAAAAAAAGAAAGCACTAAAAAAACACTTCCATTAAATGGCGACTCTTGCAAAAGTTAATTTTTGCAGGAAATCAATGGACCAAAGACAGTCATTTCCGTTCCTTTTAATTGACATATTAAAAAACTAAAATTTGCAAAGTTCGAATCTTAGATATCAATACAATTACGAAAAAGTAAAATAGAAAAAGAGTTGTTTATTGAGTTTTAAAAACTATTTTCCTTTTATACATGAAAGAAAACTGGAAAGTTTGTTATGGAGAAATCAAGAACGTACCGTAGCGACATCTAGTTTGATTTAGGGAACTAATGCTGTTTTTTAAATACTTCCTCATTCCTTTTATATGTAGTCACGTCTGAATTTCATTAAAAAGACATCAAATTGAATAACTTCACATCTCCGTAGATAAAGGTACATGTAAAATATGTTTTTTGTCTCTCCAGTATGGAATTAATTTTGATCAAGGTTACCTTAGTCGGACAGTAATTGAGACGATCTACTTCTGTTCCTACTTCGTATAATGGGGGTTCTTTTATACGTAGCATGACGAGCTAGATAGCTTTTGTCTGCACCCAAATGTCACTTCTCGGATACGTTCATACGATATTTCTTTCTAGAGAGTGATGTTTGGTGTAGACAAAACGTTTCTCGTCTTTGTCATGCTATGCATGCTTCTTTTAAAAAGGGCGGTCAAAAGGCCATTTTGAGTAGTTTGGATTGGTATTACAATGAAATTAAGTACAAATTACTGCTATAAGTTTCTAAGTTAAAAAAAGGGTTATTTAATAATGCCAAACAATGGTGATGGTGAATTTGCCATAGAATTTTAAAATTTAGACAACTGATATACTCTTTTTATTTCATATGATAGGTAATAGGTACAGTCGGCCAAGAAAGTGGTCTACCACCCTAAAGTTGAATTTCGCGTGTTACGTCAACTAACAACAAGGTTGATTTTCCGTAGCATTAATTTTTTGACACGTCAAGTACACGTCATTATTGCTATCTTCATCATTTTGACGTAACCTTTGACAGTAATTATCTATACATATAATAAAAATGTATCAAGGTTACATTTGTAAGATATTTTGGAAAAATAATATATGGACGGCCTTCATAAGACTAATAGAAGCCAAAAATTTTTTTTTCTGTCTGTCTGTTTGTATGTTTAAATACTTTAGAGTTAGAATATCGTAAATAAAGTCTTATAGTCTACAAATATCCTACATTAGAATGTAGATTAAAAATATTTTAATACAAATAAAAAAAATCAGTAGGTAGTGAAATGCTATGCGTAAGAAGCTATGCGTGTTATAGGTCTGAATATACTGAGATAACGGATAACAGAAATGAATAGCGACGAAAAACATATTGCGCCGACCCATAGCTTAGTGCGAGACAAGGGCTAAAACAAGAAGAGATAGAGAAAATGCTAATTCTTTGGTTGTTAAAAAATATATACAATTCTTTTATAAAATTATAATTCTTAAAATCTTGTGTAGCCGCCATCTGCCTCTATAACAGCTTGGAGACGTTCCCTCATCGAGCCCACCAGTCTTGAGCAGATATCAAACCCACGTGTTTCCTCCCAAACCTCATTGCAGTGCCCTTGTAGTGCTTCTGCTGTTCGTTCATTACGGTTACACCATTTCTGAACCATAAGACCCCACATATTTTCAATAGGGTTGAGATCTGGCGATTTTGCAGGCCATGGTATCAAGTTTATTTCCGGATGTGCATCAAACCAAGCACGTGTTACCCTTACTTTATGTAAGGGACAGTTATCCTGTAAATAATTAAATTGACGCATTTCATTTTCTGGATTAACGTTCCGGACGGATGGCAACATAGCATTTTGGAGAACATCAACATAATCTGATGCCGTTGCTCGTGGAGGCAAAAAGGTCAAGTCTCCAACACCATCAGCAGGCATCCATCCATACAAATTTACCGAGATATGACCCGATTCTCTATTTGGCACGACATGATTTTGCGTGTATTGCGTTTTATTGAATCGCCAAAGGTGTAGACGCCCGTGTTGACTGGATTTAAAAGTTTTCTCGTCACAGAAAACAGTGTTACTCCAATCAAAATCCAAATATTCTATGGCGAAATTTAATTTGGCCATTCTATGAGCGTGAGTCATATAAATTTTCTTTGCATAACGCCTGTGATGTAAGCCCATGTAATGTAAATGGTTTCTAATGGTTTGGAGAGTCACGTCAAATATGTCGGCAAAATAACGCGTTGGTATAAAGCCAGATTCCTCATAACTCCGTCTCATGAAGACTCGCTGAGTATCTGATATTTCAGGTCTACGACCGCTACGACTCCGAGCGTTCAAATTCCCCTCCTCGCTTTCTCGTCTTATCCAAAGACGGACAGTTTGTCTCTATAATCAAAAATAAAATATGAACAGAAAAAATGAAAAAAAATTTTTACACTCGGACTTGGTCTGAGATTTTACATTAAACTCACGTCAGACATAATAATACTTACCGACACATTTAATTCTCTAGAAATCTCACTAATATTCAAACCATCATTGTGTAATGCGATTATTTGTGCTCTTTCGTTAATGGATAAATTTCGGGGCATTGTAGTGTAAATTAATTAGGAAAATACCTACGGAAAATGCCGAAAAAATATTTGACATGAATTGTCAAGTGATATATTCTTTTTCAGTAAAAGAGTTTTCGTAACAAAATAGTTTCCACTTTGAAGTGACCTACTTAGATTATAAATTTATGAAATATTGTGAAGACTATTTGTTGTTGCAAATTATTATCTAATGCATAGGCTGCAAAGGTCAAAATAACATTTGTGCTCTACGACAACAAGTCAGCATTGTGCATCTCTTTTATTGTTTGTATGCAATTCTAAGATTCGCCTTTAGCGATGCTTTAAAGACACGGGAAATGTTGTCAAAACTGGTAGACCACTTTCTTGGCCGACCGTACATTATACAAATGTACTCTTTGGGTAATACGATATTAGGTTTTGATATCGATAGCGCTGTTATTCGATTACAATATAGATTGTCATTTTGGACGTCAATCGATATATTTACATTCCTAAAGCCATGTTTGTTTGACTTTGAATTTCTATATAGTCCACAGAACAATAATACTCTACGAGAAGAATGCCAACTTCATAGAAAAATATTATCCATAGAAACTAGCTCCACCTAAAGTCAGCCCCCCGAAACAAGCAGTATGGCGGGAAGTTTAAATACTTACTTTTATACTTGGGTTTTATATTAACTACCAAATTACTAAAACCAATGTTTTCTGTGAATATTTTTCGTATACGAAATCCATAACATAAACAAACTCCACAAACGAAAAACATCCATAGGGAACACAGGTTTTAGTAATTTGGTAGTTAATCTAGGTGATATATAGGGACTACTTCGAAAGGGGAATATAATACAAGCAGATAATAATAACACACTCTTTTTTATTATTATTTTAACATACCGCTTTATTACACAAATTAAGTGAATTTTCAACATACTGTTTGGTTTTTAACTTTAATTCAACATTGATTTACAAGCCTTCAGAATTATTTTAATGTGTGCACTAAATTATCAAGAAAATTAATTTGACACAGCATTCTATATTCAGTGTACAATTACATTTGGAATTCTGTTGATGAATTCCGTCCTTTGTGGAAAATATATTTAGCCCACGATTCACATCTGAAAACAAATACAACGAAATTAAGAATGTTATATCCTTTATCCTTATTTTCCTAAGAATTTTATAACAAACTAATTTAATTTATAGTTCGTAATCGATAAACAATCTTAATCACCTTCACCTACATCATCACTTTTATCAGAAATAACATAAAATTCTTTCATACAGATTAGTATGACATACCTAATACTAAAGCTCTTTGACTCAAGTTATATTTTTTACAACTAAACACAAGTATTTATGTCAATTCTAACTCTACTGCTAATAAAATAATTAACACTAGCATTACATAATGGGAATATTCTCTTGTTAAAATGTAGCGGAACTTCACGTACTATTCATTAGTTTGGAAATCTATAAATAGAAGATTAAAGCAAGTACCGTATAAGATTCCTTTTAGCCGGCTTCGGAAAACGAAAGAGCTTTACATTATGCTGGGTTGGCGAACGTCCACACTTAAAACATTTTTTTCTGTTTTCTTTATCAGCCATATTTTCAACAACCACAACAACAGAAAAGAGTCACATCTCAAATTTCACAAATAACTATAAATCCACTTCCTAAGCACATTAAAAGGAGGAACAAAAGCTCATCTCGACGTTATAATGATAAGAAAATACAGGAAACAAGTAATTGTGATGGAATCGCATGAAACAAGTGGGAACAACAACAAAACAAATTGCCATTATCGACACCAAATCAGTTACAAAAATAACTACTACTAATTTTAACAATGATGCCTTCCAATTAATAAAATTAAAACGATTGCAACAAAAAAAATAAAAGTCAACTGTATTATTTACTTGACTTAATAAAATGTATTTCTGAATATTAAAAACTTGGATAAATATAATTTTTTGGCAAAAGACAACTATCAGAGACTACTAAAATGTGTGAAAGTCATAACATGAGGCAACACTGCAGATTCATTTCATTGCCATACTATTAAATCTTAGTTGCTAGTTAAAAATATGGTATTATGAAAGATTATTTGGGTCTTTCATCATAAAATTTTGCCCTGTAGGTATAATTTTACACTTGTATGAAGTTACCACCCCCTGATATAGTCTGTGTATAAATTGGTTCGAAAGTTTAAGGTCGCGAACTAGAATATAAATCGTATATAAGTATTTTCATTTTACATGTAGAAATTAATTATTCACTTGACGTTAGCAGCATTGTGCGAAATGCCATTAACAAGCCACGGATAAGTCATTAATAAAAGAAGTTGAAAGTAAAGTTTGTGATGAAAACCAAGTGCTTATTATTCACATACCTAATAACGAACTTTATAGTTATTTTTAGCTAGGTATGTTTTTACATTGAGGTAATATAAAAATAAACCAAGCAAGAAAGAAGAACAACTATTGTGTTGCTTTCATATTGTGATGACCTAAGTGTAATACTTAAAAATGAGCACAAAAAGACCAGCATCTCGAATTTTGAATGAAGATAGTAGTCCAACTAAGAAGATAAAGACGAGCCAACAAAACTCTTATTTTTATAAAATTCTTGAAGAAAGTGGTTTAACTTTAAGTTCGCCTCCAAATAAATCTATTATATCTCATGAAACTGTACATGTAGTGCGTAATATAAAAAAAAATCTTCAGAAACACTTTGACTACCCTAGAAATGTGTCAGAGTTTTTTGCAAATTTGGAAAAAGATTGCCAGAACATACATTTATTTAAACATTACTTATACCCTAACATTGCAAGGCTTACTGATGATCGTCCAGAACACATTATTAATGACAGTGTGTTCAAAATACTGCTGAGCATACCAGTTTTACAGAATAAATTAACTGATTATATTTTTGAAAAAGCTATTGATTTTGCTGCAGAGTCAAAATGTGGACCATGGATACAAATGATACTTAAGTGTTTTTCATCATTAGACAACATAGCTAGCACAGACAAAATTGCTACTCATTTAATTAACTTGTTAGATATTACTACAGAAAAAATGGTTCGCCTAGAAATTATTACTGCTATACCAGATATAATTGGGGATCAGGAACATAATACTGTTGCTACTGAAATGAGTCGAATACTAAATGAAGATCATGATCTCACACCAGCAATTTTAGATTGTTTGTCTTATTTGTGTTTGTCAGATGACCAATATGGACACCTCCAAAAAAGAACTTTGAATATTCTGATAACTTTCCCGAAATGTGTATACTTTCCTAATTTTATCAAATTCCTTCTTATGCCTGGAAGAATGAATGACACTGCCTATTTTGAAGCTGTGCAAGGACTCAGGAATGCTCTTGGCTGGCCAAAATCAATTGCAACACAACAAGAAATTGCAACAAGCCAAGTCCTCACTGCCACAGCAATTAGGAATTCTATGCTATCTTCAAAAGTTATTTCAAATTCTTGGTTAAAAGTAACAACCTTATGCAAAAATGATGCTGATCATAAACCAATTGATTTTGTGATATTTTTAATTTTATATTCTCTATCAGAAGAAAAGCAAAAACAGATTGAAAACTTGATAAAAAAACAAATAAAATTAAATATCTTAAAAGAAGATTTATTAGAAGAGTCATTTGAAAAGTTTAAATTCATATACAGAGATTATTTAAAGGATTTAATAAGTCTTGGCAATTTTTTATTGAAAATAAAAGGTGATCCTATTATAGAAGGATTTGCTTCCAAAATGTATATGCTAATGTTCTCGCACTTATGTGATTGCTGTCAAACTATTCTTGCAGAAATACTTCAGTTAGGGTTAGATTGTCAACAAGCTGTAACAAATATTTTACTCATATTGAATAATGTTGCAGCTAGTGACATGGATTCATTAAAAACACAAAGTGTTCAAATGTTGACACTATTAGATAGAATGGACAATATGTCTCTGAATGATATCAAATCAGTAATGAATTTACTTTGTGCACTTGCATACAGTTACGAAAATTCAGTAATAAGAGATGATATTTATATGATAATAAGAAAAGAATTAGGCAGTTCTATCCCCAAAATTAAAATTCAGGGTATTTTAGCAGGACTGTATGCAGTCAAATATTTAATGAGAAAGCAAATTGATGATGAACAAACTGCAGAATTGCCTGATGATATTAGTTATAGTTCTGTAACATTTTTATCTGAAGGTGATCTCCGTGAAGCAGCTCAAATTATAGAACTGATCAGTCGAAGTACTAGGCAATATCCCGATATGATTGCCCTTTTCTATGATGAATTATCTGACATAATTGCCACTTCACCTTATATAAATAAGTTTTTTTTATCATGGTTGACTGATGCCGTGACCAATGATTTGCAACAAAATTTCATTGTAGATGCTGTGGAACATGAAAAAACTGGAGAGTTAAAACTTACAATGCAGTATTGTCTCAATGAAGATAGTGAAATGGATGAAACAATTGCTATAAACATTGGTGGTCTAACATTACAGCCAAAAACTACTGTCAATATTGCTATCTTATCACCATTATTCCAACTGGTACAAACATTACATAATAGACAACATGATGGTACATTATCTACCATTGATGCCTTATTAGGATGTGCTGTCATTATGCCTCAATTTGATATTGACTTAGTTGAAGATATGGATAGTACTGCTATTTTAAATGTATTAGACTGTCTAATTCATTGTGTCAATTGGTTTAGAGAACTACTAAATGCCTTTGCAAGTCAGGATGATGAAGCACTTAAGGCAAAGATGCTTCAAAGACTTCTTCAAGTTGAAGAATTAGAGGCAGTTATTGAAGAAGTTCTTATGAAATGTAGTATAGCTTACAAGCCACCTGCTTGCTTTTTTAACATAAGTAAATATACGGGTGGAGTAGTTGAGAAGAAATTTACTAGAGCTCAAAATAACAAAAACAAAATGCAGAAGAAGCAAGCTCAAGACGACACTATAATACCAGAAACAGCAAAATCACAACCAACACAAAGCAATAATTCACTAAAAAATAAATTTGATAGGGCCAACTCTTTACCTTTTAGGCAACTAACTTTAAACATATTTCATCTACTCAATAACGATATAAACTTAACAGGTGATCAACACAGTTTTGGAGCTAAAAATTTAAATTTTTTATTAAAGTGTATCAATGTTAAATTAGATAACACATTTATTTCTAAGATTCATAGAAAAACATTTTTTTCTAAGGAGGAAGACATTATTTATGATAAAAAAAAAGCAGAAGAATCTGCGAAACTTGTCAACAAGATGCTTCCGAAAATTATGAAGCATTTAACATTCATTTGTACGTTTTTGGACAAACATGCTTTTCCCAACACACAGAATGATAGTAGTTTCATCTTAACAACAGAAATTGTCAACCATCTGCGTTGTCTAGAAACCATTTACAATATGTTTAAAATATTCTACAAATGGATTGGATTTAGGAACCATCAGAATGCTTTATTAAAAAGCTCTTTGAGAACAATCGTATTCTCGGAGAGCACTTCTAAAATAGTGTCTCTGAAAGATTTAATTATATTAACTGCTAAATATTTTCAAAAACATGAAAAGTATTGTTTACAGCTATCGACGGCGGTATCATTAATTGAGTTATTACAAACCATTCAGTGGTTTTGTGATGACAAGACCATCTTAAAAATTTTAAAAACTATGTCTCACAACTTCTTATCGCAACAATGGAAAACTCCCGATGGAATCCCAGAAAAAGGATTATTCTTCAGTCACAGCATAGACAAATTATCTAACGTATTTTTCATTAATAACGAAATATTAACGCTGAAGAATCTAACATTACAATTAACTCATGAAATTAAAACTTTAAAGAGCCTAAAAGATAGCCTTTCATCATTTAAATGTATCAACAAGGGCAATTTCCCGATACTATACAGAAATCTAGGCACAGCTTTGTACGAATCTACAAAAACACGGCTTAATAAAGGATTGACTAATACTGAACATTTGGGGTTGTGGAAAGATGTAGCTATCATCTTGAAGAATATGTCTGATATAGCGAAAACTTTAGAAAATAGAAATAATCTAGCCGCATTTTTCAAAAAATCTGTTCCTGTTCTCAAACTTTTTTTATCCCAAGGTATACCCATACTAGAATTACAACTGAAGAACGAAACTGAAGAAGTTTTAGAGATATTGAAAATTCTACAGCAATCAACCAGATTTTTACAGTCATTATGCTGTCATTCAAGACTCAAAAACAATACAGTTTTGATGAGTCAAGTCCCCTACATAAGGCAGCTTCTTGAAACTCTAATTTATAAAGTCAAAGCTGCATTAGCTGCTAACAATTGTTCAGAAGCTTTCTGGATGGGCAATCTTAAAAATAAGGATATTCATGGTGAGATAATTGCTACACAACAGAGTATTGAAAGTGAAGAATCTGTTGAAGATGGTGATGAATTGTTGCCCGATGACGACGAAGCCGAAGATAGCAGTGATGAGATGATTAATCCTGACTCAAAAAGTATAAGTGATATTGTCTAATTTTATATAACGCAATAAAAACGTCAATAGAAAATTGCCCATGTAGAAATAATTATATGATACACTTCTTTATTCAGATACAAAATTTTTGGAAATAGCTATATAAGAATACGACCGAACCCTCTTTTGTCACGATTTTTACAGAATAAGATAATTAGAGACCTCCATTAATTGATTCTCCAGCTTTTATTGGCATAGTGGCTTTAAAAGCGCCATTTAAAGCTTACATTAAAGAAATAGTTATTAACTGCTATTAATGTTTTTATTTCAACCCGATCTTTTGGTTCGGTTTTGAATTTGTAGATTATATTTTGTTGCTTGAATTTCATGCAAGTTTTTAAAACTTTTAATATCCAAGTTTTCATCAGTCTTGGGTACCAGGAAATGTAATTTTTTACGCAAAAAATCTCTCTTTAGCCACATGAACTGAAAATTAGTAGTATAGTACTTTTATCTAGTCTAATCATGTAATCATAGACCTACCAAGTAGTTGGTGGTGGGTTAACGCAACATTAATTATGCAAATTGTAATTTTTTCCGGTGTTTGATATGATAAATTGATAACAGTTGAAATTTATATACATGAAAATATGTATTTTAATCTCTTGAAAAACAATTTACAGGCGATTTTGTTGGCGCGAAATAGATGGCAGGCGTGTTTCAAGTTGGTTATTAAAAATTAAAAGAAAGCGTCTTAAATCAGTCAAATACCTCCTACAAAATGACTGCCAGCTCTTGGGCTATAAGTTTGTTTGATTGAACCCTACAATCTCTGAAATTACTGGAACGAATTGAATTATTGTTTTTGTGTTGAATAGTCCACTTATCGAGGAAGACTATATTATATAACATCTCGCTATGACTTGTAGGAGTGGAGCAGCAATGAAATATGTTACAAAAACGGGAAGTTTTATTTGCTGGCGTTCGTAAAGTTTGGTATTCATTCACCACTTGTTAATTTTGAGTATTAAGCTAATAATAAATGTATGTAAAGTGGTATAATTTTCCTTGTGTAAAATAATGAGATTTATGTTTATTTTACTAACCGGTATCCGGCCGGATATTGGCACCCTGTCCGGTTTTCGGCCGGATACCGGATATCCGTATCGTAATAAAAATGTGCAAGAGCTTTCTAAAGCTAGATTTTTCAGTATGACAATATGAATGAAGTAACAACCGTTTAATAGCTAATAAATAATACATATTAATAACTATTATGACAATTCTTACTTCTTTCTAATACTCGTTTTTTTTATTTTTAAAATATATCTGCTTATTAGTTATCAACATTTTCTCACGTAAAATGTCAGCTTAATCATAACCTTGCTTTGTGAAGTTTAGTTTTTAAGATAAGAAGAAATCCTCTAGACTAATTAAAAATCCATTAATTACCATCTTAAAGTAATTACTTAAGCATGACTTCAAACAAATTATGCGTGAATTATTTATCATAATAGCATGTTTGTGTAAAAAGATACAAAATGAAAAACACTTTTATGTTGAAGTCAAGTATAATAGTCATTTTAGTACAGTCTCTGAGGTGGGCCCATCGTAGACTTCATATGTAGGGACCGCACATTTTGCCAGTGCTTCTTCAGCAAGGAAACTAGGAAGTTGATTGACAAATGGACATTTTGTGCGAGTTCATCAGGTGTCATGTCTACATGTCCTACAGCCACAGAGAGACAAAGTACCTGGAAAAGACGTGCTGTCAGTGTCTGATACCTACAGAATCCATTTTTATAACTTAGATTGCAAAGGTACTTATCAAGCATTTAAAACAGGATTTTTTTAACAAAAAAATACCATTTACCTTTTTCATCTGGAACTTAATAGTAGCTTTGACTTCATCAATCTTCATGGTCATAGACTCCTGGTGGGAAAGCAGGCCAGGAAATTTGCCAGCCTTATTCAGGCCAGGGCCAAGAAGACGTGGGATCTGTTTGATGAGCGATTCAGATGCAAGAAAGGCATCATACCTAAAAAACATAAAGTTAATTTACTGAAATTTATTTATTAAATTATGTTACATACTAAAAGAATATTAACAACATACTTTTCTTAAATGAATTTTATCCATTTATAATATTATAAAACAAGTTTTACTTATTTAGCTAATTTCTTTTTATTAAATTATGTTACATACTAAAAAAATTTTAACAATATACCTTTCTTAAATTAATTTGATCCATAAATAATATTAAAACAAGTTTTACTCACTTTTTAGCCAATTTCTTGACAAGTTTTTTGTTTTTATTAAGTTTTTTCAATGCTTCGGCATCCATACAAGGCACACTCAACTGCTTAGCTTCATCACAATGCTGCTGGTCTCCAAGTACACACACCTGCATCTTCGGCCTTGGAATGTACTTAAGCCTAGTAAAACAAATGAAAACTTGATGAATGTTGAAAGTTTGTCAAGAATGAACCAATGGTATATAAACAAAATCAGTAATTTTTATTTGACTTCACATGGATCAGATAATACATGCTTTACAATAACATCATGAATTGATAAGACACGTTATTGGCACCTGTAGTGGCTGAAGGGCTCTTACCACATGGTTCCGATATATAGCGGTAAGCCGAAGCATACCTTCCCGTTATTTAAAGACTTTGGGTAAAGTCCCGTCGGTGTAAACCGACTCCCTGTCCAGAGAAAAGTTTGTAGAAGATTATAAACGATTCATATTTCTACAAATAAATCTCTTTCCAGGTAAACATACTTGACGGTGCCGGAGAAACGCTTGTCCTTTTGAGGGTCATAATTCTTGAGACCGATTTGTAACTCGACAGTTTCCAAGAAATTACGTTTCTTCTCCTTTGATTTCTCTAGGACGGCATTAACGCACTCGTAGAGCGTGTCACGCGACACCTTAGACCTAAAAAGAATTACAGGTTATGAAGATGGGATCAGTACACATAAAACAAAAATATCTATAATCTTATTATTATCATATATGTAAGTAAATAAAGAAGCTTATAAAAATTTAGATTATTTAACGATTACAATTATTCAGAAAGATTACTCACGACATCTTAGCGGTTTCGCACCTTCCCTAAACGAAAGCTGAAAAGAAAAGAGTCGGAGAACACTGACATTAATGGTGTGCGGAATCGATTACCATTAATCGATTTTTCACATACTCAGTTTGTATCGATTATGATTTCCTAATCGTCAATTAACCATCGATTATTTCTTAAAACGTTACCAATAGGAATCGTTTAAAACGTTAGTATAGTATCTACTTACTTTACTTCGATGGCTCAACAATCCATAGCGGATCGCAAGTGTGAATATTATTAGTAGATATTCTATTACTTACTATGGCAGCTCTGGAATACTCCGACGAACAAGTAGGTAACTTTATTCTTTGGTCGGTGAACTCCCGATGAATGAATGAACGGATCTTACAGTTTTTTCAACAAATACAAATTAACCGTTTCTTACTAAATGCACATTTAAGTATACACGGCACATACCTATACCAAAATATTCTTTTTTACATTTTTTGTCTGTCTGTTTGTTCCGGCTAAATTCTGAAACGGTTAGATCAATTTTAAAATTTTCTCTCTAAAAAAAAAACCAACTTCAAACTTAAAAAAAAAGATAAATAACACTCGTCTCAATAGCAACTTAAAAAAGTTCGCCGTCGAACATATAGCCACTAGCCTCCTCCTTTTGGATTTTGAAGTCGGTTGATAAATGAAAATGCATGACAATGAAGTTAACCTTCATTGTCATGCATTTTCATAAGACATGAAGTTCAGTAAAGTAGTTTTTAATCGTTCTGTGTTTGGCTACATGAAGGATAAAGAAGGAAATCTAGAAATTAGATTTTTTCTATACCTACTGAAGTAAATGACTTAAACGGAGAAATCCTGGAGTCTGCCAAAACCGATGTATGGTGTTGCCAATTTAGAACCACATGCTTTACTTGTTTCTTTTTTACTTTTGTAATTTCTGAAATAAAAAGAAATTTGAGAAGTTTTTATTAATTTTTGCTTACGCACGTTGCCTCCTCCCCTCGTCCCTCTGGGCGAGGGGAGGAGGCCCCTTATAATTGATACGGCAGATAAGGCGGTAGCTACGCCCCGCTCATATCTACGATTAAACTTTAAATTAAATAAAGACAGAATATGTGCGAACGACAGAATGAACGGAAAAATGGGAAATTGATATTCTATTTCCGGCTGTCGAAAATAATGATGAATGAATGAACGGACGAGTATTGTAGATATATGTATAAAATTAATTAGTAAAATATTGTAAGTTTGAAAATTTCTTTGAAAAAGCTTTGAAAAATAAAAACAATCACGGAAGTAGGCTCTGTGCATATAAATCCCTTTGTTTTTCGATAAAGTCAGTGTTTAAAAAACATTTGTCAAAGTCCATAAAACATCAAAGGTTCAATTTTACGTATTTCCAAAAGTTGTATCTCGACAACTAACGAATTCCACGCTTTGAAAAAATTAAACTACCTCTAAAAAATTAAACCACTTAAGCATCTGTGTGCGTGTATAAAAAAATTATCAACACAATTAGCGCAGTTGCCTATACTAAAGCTGAGCCATATATTTAATGAGGAAGTATTTAAAAAAAATAATGAAACTACAAAAAATTATGTTACTAGATGGCAGCACAAATTGTTGGATCTAAACGTCAATTCATGACGTTAAACCAAAGAGAATAGATTTGTTAGTGTTGTTATGGATCTGATAACTTGGATTAATATCGAGTTGAAATTTAACTAGTTCGAGTTATGCAATCGCAACTCGATTAATACAAAGTAATCTTTGAATAAATTTATTTTTTATTTGTATAGAGGAAAATGGAAACTAACATAATGGAAGTGAGCACAGAGGCTTTTTAAATTTATGGAAATCAATTGAATGCTGTGATATAATTAAAAGTGGCATCTAACTACGGTATACAATAATATTACGTTTTATAAATAAAATAGGTACTTATGTCATAGTTGGTCTAGGAATTTTCATTTTAATATTTAACAAAAGTTCTGAAAAAATAACAACTAGGTAAGTTAGTTTTATTGCTATTAGTTGTTTGTTGAACTTACAACAACAAAATTACATCAATTCTCAATATTTTTTTTATATTATGTATGGTGAATGAATGAATAGGGTTTATTTATCAGCAACAAAAGTCATAAAAACAATAATATAAAAAAAATACGTTTATTATCTATAAACTTACCCGATATGTATCAAATATACTATATATTCGTACAAAATAACATAACTGCTGGCTAAAATGACGTTTGTGCAAAGTGTAACGTGCAAATAACTTGTGCTTTCGAAATTAAGACTTTATAAAACTATTATCAGTTATTAAATCTTATATTCATAATTAAATCATATTAATAAACATTCAGCAATTAACAAGAAACGTCTGCTCTAAACGAACAGCAAGGTTGTAACTTTAAATTTCAAATGTCAAAGACACGTACAGTTATTATATTGCTACTGATCTTGCATGTCGACGGCGGACGTCGAGCCATGTGTTAAGTTAATTCTTTTTGTTCTTTTTGGTTCTTACAATAATATTGTTAATAATAATTTGAATTCCTACACTCCTACCTACTCTAGAAATCCGTTTTATTGAAATATATTATTTACTAAGTACCTAGAGTTGTTATGGTCTCTTAAAATCCCTGCGGTGGTATCGTGTGCGTTAGGTAGTTACGATCCCTCAAATATAGTATAGTTGAGTTGTTTAGTTGAAATTAAAAAAGCAGCCCTTGCTGAGTTTCTTGTCAGTAAGAGATCTCCCGCCTTAGTTTTGCGAACCATTGGTAAAGTTTTCGACTTTCACAAGTACTATGTAACAGTCTAGATTGAATTGATTTTGATATTTATATTAATATCATTCGTTTTGTGGATGCATAATGACACTTCATCTTCATCATCATTTTTGTTCTCCATTGCAAACCTGAATTCGACGAAAGTTACGAGCAACCAATAAGTTGGCTCATCACTAATGTTGACGTATCAACCAAACATCGTACCTTTACACGTAACATAATAAACAACTTAAACTTACAATTAAAATAAATTAAAATTAGTTTGAAAGTGAGACATTATAAGAAACACAAAACGATGTCATATTTTTTAATCGAAAATACTCAATTTACATTTATTACGTCAGAAATAAAATTTGAATGAATATCATAAACAAAATCCAAAACTCGCGAGTGACATCTAGTATGATTTCAAGAACTAATTTTTATTTTTTAAATACTTCCTCATTAGAAAAGGTATTTAGATAAATTATTGCCACGAAAAATAATATAAAATATAGTTGGGATAATTGAAAGTGAATAGCAGTGGCAACACTGACGACAAAATGTCGAAATTTTATTTGTGAAAATTAAATATTTTTATTTTACAAACTAGCCTTAATTTTGTATTTATTGCCAAAAATGTTAATGACTTAAGTGTGAAACTTAATATTCTTTCGTATTATGTGTATTTGTGAAAGAGAATCGTATTTTATCCACTATTTTTCTTCGTTTTTGCGGAGCATTTTTTTGTACTTTCTCGGCGGGAGTTGAATGAGTAATAAAGTGAAAAACGAAAAAACTAAGACAAACGTCTTAGTTTTAGTAGCTTCAGATATTTGGTATGTTTTGGTATCTAAACGTCTTAGTTTTAGTACCTTCAGATTTTTGGTAGATTTCATAGCTCTGGTTTCGTATGCAAATATTTAGACTGATAACCAATAAGAGAGTCCAACTTGACGATAATTTACAAGCCTAAGAATTTTCAGCATATTGAGAAAGCTCCGAAAGATATGAAAGGGCTGTTTTTTTTTCCCACGGATAGATTTTTCGCGTATGCTACGGGTTTTTTAATATGGGGCCTTGAACTAAAAACAATCAATGTTGTGTAAAAGATATTCTGTGAATTTTCAGTCATCGGTTCACAATTTCATGAAGTTCAAGCAGACGAATTCGCGGGCATAAGCTAGTATTGGCCGACATCAGAACTTGGGACGATGCATTGATTTAAACCAATATTACTTGATAAATACTTTATTTCACACTGACTCACCGTTAATTGGCGTTACATTTCTGCCATCTTTTATTCTATTGCCAACAATAAATAAACAATACTGTCATGGTTTTATTCGCAAGATGTCGTTTTCAATACAATCAATGTTCTAATTTTTGAGTTCCTTATATTTAGGTTTGTAAATTATTAAATTGAGTTTGTTTAATCATAATTACCCTTTTGAAATACATAAACATATAGTTGAACGACATTAGAAGTTACTTTTTATAATTAGTACCCTTTTGTAACATTGTATACTTAAATCAATATCATACTTTTAATACGCAGTGATCAATATTAATCCTTTATTTGTAACAATATTAATAAAATACAATAAGTAATAATAATCTGTACTGTTTACGAATACAAATACATGAATATGTGCGATCATGGAAATTACGTGTTTTAATACCTTGTAATATTTCGTACAATTATATTCTCAAGTCAATACATCGCTTATTAATTACAGTCATCGTCATTTTACAAGTATTTCTCTATTAATCAAAGTAATAAGTATAACTATATTAATGATAGGCTTACACTAGTTAATATATAAGAAGTAAAACAGCACTATCAGAAAATGTATGATAATCTATTTATTCTCATATCCTA